CTCTGTTTGGCAGTTCTGAAGATGTGGGTGCGGGGATCACTTCCACCCTAATTTCCAGATTGCCTACTCAGGAGAGTCCCACTCTAATCTGCAGTGAGGGCTTGAGGATGCTGTTGCTATCACTGTATTTACCTTGCCTGGAACTATGTAGATCAGGCTGACCTTGAACTCAGAGATCCGCCTGCCTCTGCCTCCCTAGTGCTGGGATTGAAGGTGTGTGCCCCAGGCCTACCCATGTTTTCCATCTTAATATATGTCCATTTAACAAAGTTTATTCTTGGAACAGAAGAATCAGGCTAGGAAAGCCTACAGATCCCAAATCTGGATCAAATCAAAGCTTGTGAAACAGTTTCTCTAAGAACTCTTTCACTGTGCATAAAAGTTTTCCCTGAGGGGAAATGGTCACTTACGGGGATCCTGTCCTATTTCAGGCATGCCTCAATGCTAACAGCCCCCTTAAACGGAACCTAACCATCTTCTCTACTTAACCAAAACAATTCACGGGTGCACTGCTACTTCGGACCACTCAGAATAAGTCTTGTTCCTTACAGCCAACCTTTTCATATGTTAAGAGTTCTCATGACCCCTGACCTCCAAATGATGCCTTCTCTGGCAATAAGACAACTATTAGTCAGGGTTCTCTGGAGGACAAGGACTGCTAGCGTACACGTACTACAGGGGATTTACTGAGACGGCTTACAGGAAGAGGTCCTGGCAGTCCAGCAATGACTGTCTCACCCTGGAGAAGCTGAGAATCCCAGAGCTGCTCAGTCACCCAGGCTTCAGGTCTCAGCATTTCCAGTCCAGTGCTGAAGACCTCGGGCATTCCTGGAGGGCCAATGGTCTTCGGTCTCTGTGGGAACCTGAAGAAGCTAGTTCTAACATCACCAAAGGGTTACCACAGCAACAGGACGGAAGGACTCTCCAGAGGAGTGAAGGCAGACACTCGAAAAGCAGTCTCCTCTACCACACACATCCTTTTATCTGGGCTGACACCACATTTCGGGTGGGTCTCTCTGTTCAAATAATCTGATCAAGAAAACTCCTGGCAGGCGAGCCCAGAGGCACGCACATCAGTTGACGCTACATGCCGTCAAGATGACAACCAGGAGGAACCATCACCGTGACCTATAAAACGGCTCCTGCTGTCTGACCCAATAATTCCAGTTTGTAAAATATGTCAAGTAGGAATAGCTCAAAATTAGGAGTAAACTTGTACAGTTCATGTTATACTTTCCTTTGCACAACAGAGAAGAACTTAAACCAATCCAAATCCCCTAAAGTTAAAAGCAACTAAACAAATGATGAGCATCTCACCCGATGCTTTTACTGAAGACGGCGTGTGTAAAACTCTTGTTTTCTCTGAGACAGGGTCTTCCTACATAGCACAGGTTGGCCTCGAATCGGCCTCGTAGCTCAGGACGTAGGCTGGCCTGAGACTCATGATTTTACTGCCTCCTGAGTGCTGGGATTGTAGGCATGAGCTGCCATAGCTGACCTGAGAGCTAGCTCAGGTGGTGTGTGAGCAACACTGTATGGAGAAACCGAACATGGGACTGGAGAGATGCCTCAGCAGCTAAAGCATGCTGGCTGCCCTTCCAGAGAGACCAGGTTCTATTCCTGGCACACACACATGGTGGCTCACAACCATCCATAGCTCCAGTCTCACAGACTCTACCTTCTTCTGGCCTCCACAGCCGCCAAGAGTGCATGTGGTTACACAGATACACATACATGCAAGACCCCTAAACACACACACACACACACACACACACACACACACACGAATGGAGTACAACTATATAAAAGGATTCATGTGCTCATATATCAACCAAGTCCATATCAATTAAATCTGCAGTCTTCAGAAGCCTTCGGCTGGGCAGTGGTGGCACACGCCTTTGGCCAGCCGATCTCTGGGTTTGAGGCCAGCCTTGAAGCCACGCCTTCTCCAACTCACATAAAACAATGAACTTACATCGGACCCACAGATGTACCCTTCTGTTTTTAACTCTGTCCTGTGTGTCTCCTGTTTGGAAATAGCCTGAAGAGGACAAGACAGTGAGGGTCAAATTCAGGAGAGTGAGAACAATCTGCAACTGACCCTAAGCCTCCAACTCCCATCCCTAACCAGTTTCTATTCTTCCCATGTTCCTGCCTCCGTCCCGGTTCCACGGGCATGTTTGCCCTCTTTACAAACTGCACCTGGCTTGACAATATCTTTGAAGGGCTGGCCAGACACTAGTCAGGAAGGATCAGCCCCAAAAATCTGATATTTCCTAACTTCACAAAGTTTGTTTTTAGATTATATGTGATGGGGGGGGGGTAGGTCTGTCTAAGTAAGAGACGGGGAATAAATCGACCAGTAAATATCTAGTAAGATAGATATGAATAGTGTGACTAATAGAGTAAGAGACCATGTCTGAAAGGCTAGTCAGGGAAGAGCTTTGAGATAACAATACTCGAATACAGAACCAAAGGATGAGAGCCAGCCACTGAAATTGTAAAAACAAGACAGAAGGACAGGGAGCAAGCCATGCTTACAGAACTGGAAAGGGACTGCGGCTGGAGGGTCTCCAGGGGCTGACCACACCTCAGTGTGGGTAGAAAAGAGCCTGGAGAGGTTGTGAACAAGTTACCAACTACACGTGGAGCTGCTACAAGGGGTTGCCAAAATCTGACTTAGATTTTTACTTAATTATTTTCTGTCAAACTGGGGGTGCAATTTGGGGTTTTGTGCATGCTAGGCAAGTGTTCGAACACTGAGTTACCTTCCCAGCCCCTGGTTCATATTTTTATTTCTTATTACTTTTTTTTTTTCCCTCTTCTTCTCGGAGCTGAGGACCAAACCCAGGGCCTTGTGCTTGCTAGGCAAGCGCTCCACCACTGAGCTAAATCCCCAACCTTCTTATTACTTTTATGTGTTTATTTGTGCGTGTGCACGTGTGGAGGTTACCGGACAGCTTGCGGAGGCTGGTGGGCTCCCTCCACCAAGTGGGCCTGGGGGACAGGCTTGGCAACAAGCTCCTTTACCGACTGAACCAGCTCATGGGCCCTGATTCGTATTTAAAATTTTTCGTTCAGAGTGCAGAGAATGACTTATCAGAAGGTCAAAGCAGGGTCAGTAGGCCAGTAAAGAAACTGATGTACTGGCATTAACTCGTGGTATGGTTTTGACGGCACCTAGGTCAGGGAAGAAAACAAGTTATGATAAATTCATTTATTTTATGTGTGTGTGTGTGCCACGTGTGTGCATGGAGCCCATGGAAGTCAGAAGAGAGTAACAGATCTGCTAGCACTGGAGTTAACAACCACCATGTGGATTCTGGGAAATGAACCCAGGTCCACTGCCAAGAGCAATGAGTGCTCTTAACCACTGAGCCATCACTCCAGCCCCATGAGTTATAAACATCGAAAGGAATGTTATCAGTCAAACAAAAGCCAAAAGAAATGAAAAATTAAACCCAAAACAGAACTGATATTTATATCTTCTTATCCTAAAACAATGAAGAGTTAGTACCTGGTTTCCTTGGAAGACACAGCAAACAAGAACATATTCTTTCATATCTGATCCTAAAATTCGCTTTTATGGCCCCTCAATTTCCTCTTGACACCAGGGTACAGAACTGTGACCCCTTACCTTCTCTCCAGGTGGCTAAACATTAGTGAGCAGCCTAAAGTAGCGATTCGCTACAGCCTGGCTGTTTTGTTTCATTGCAGATCATTAGCTAGGCCATAAACATTACAGACACTGCTGTTCCCTCTGCCTTCCCCCACACTAGGAGAACACTATGCACAGCATTACTTTTCCATTAGAACCATACAGAAAACTTCTTAGGGATTAATTTCACTATTGCTATTAAATCCACTGTTGCTAAGTTCCAAAGAACACGAAATACATAAACCACAGTGAAAAGTATCTGTAACGCAGGAGAGGGCCTGTTAGCCTGATACCTTCCCTATCTCTGATTCTAACCTTACCCCTTCACTGCACTTATCAAAAAGCACACACATCAACTCAGATTACATTGTACTCACACCTGTAGGCAAGAGATGCCTATGGAGAAAGGGCTATTAACCACTGTAAGCACACACACACACACACACACACACACACACACACACACACACACACGCAACATGTATTGAAACTCCTGGAAAAAAGAGGTAAGGCATCCTAGAACCTAAATCCAAACTCCACCCCACCAGTTCAAAACCTTTCTATGGATCTTTTTTCTGTTGTGTGTGTCTATATCCCATTACCTAGCTGTGGAGAACCTTGGATTCTATCAAATGATTTGAGTACAAGGAATGTTAAGCTCCAAATGGGAAGATTCAGTCTTTCCAGACCAAGAATAGGTTCAGTCTTTCCAGACCAAGAATAGGTGAGCTAGATTTGGGGCAGCGATGAGTAAGGATCATAGAACATCATGCCTTAAGAAAGCCTCCAGGGAAGGCCTGCCTCTACAGCCTGCTGCTGGGCAGGATTTACCCGGCAGACACCAGGGGGTAGCAAAATCTCACTCTCCGGGCTCCTGGGCACTCATACAGGGAAACTGGTGAGTCTAGCTTGACCGGAAGGTTGGAAAAAGCTCCATCCCCACGGGTCTAGCCGATGGGTCACGGAGTTTCCCTTCCCGAGATTCTGTATTAACCCTAGGAACCACAGGGCTCTTCCCATCCCTATGAATTAAGTTTCTCCTTTCTCCAGATGCAGAGGAGAAAGGGCAGAGTTTCTCCTGAGGTGAGAAGCATCATTTGTCACCGAGGCCCTTTCTTCTCCTCCCCGCTGTTCCCCGGGGCAGCCTCATCGGACTGTATCCACTACCACACATCTCCTAAACAAACTTCACCCTCCACCTGCGGTGGCAATGCCTTCACGCCCTCTCTGGGAACTGGGTAGCTTTCAGATCGCCTCCCAAATGTCCACCTTTTGGACCGGTCCGCCGTGACTCAGAGGCGTGCACGGTAACCCCCTGCTGTGCTGAGGTTTCCCCTGGTCCCTTCTAGGAGATCCCACCCGGTCTTCATTTCGCGGTACTCGCTGTTGGGCGACACTCGCTGTTTGTCGGTGGGGCAGAAGGGGTGAGGCTAGAACTTTTTAAAGGAACCTAGCTCCTTTTGTCTGCAGTTTAAGATAATAGTCACCGCCAAGAGCCCTAGCGGTGGTGGGCCACTATCGCCTGCGACAAGAGAGATCTAGCTAGCATCAGTACCAAAGCGTGGAGTCCAATCAAGGAGCTACTGCCTCCCCCTCCTCTATCGGAAGAGCAGCAGGGGTGTAAGGTTCAGAAAAAGGCAGCGAGGAGCAACTCGGAAAACGCCCCCAGACCCTCCGAAGCATCCTGATCCTGGGGCACGCACGGACACCCCACCCCCATGCCAAGCCTTTACTTCTCCGTAATTCCCCACATCCCCCGCCCTACCCAAGCAGCACACAGGGGCCCATTGTAGTTGCTTGGAGGCTCGAGACCCAAGAAGGTGGAAGGGGAAGAAGGACGGGCAAACGTCCAAGGCTTGGGGGGGTGGGGGGAATCCCCTACTTTCTCTGCCTTCAGCTCTATCTAAAGGGAACCAAGGCATGTGGGTCGATCTGGGCCCCAGGACCTTGCCCAAGCCTGGCCACGGACGGGAGAAGCGTCATGAGTCTTAGAGATGGAAGAGGAAGGCTTCTGGCCGCCCGACAGCCTTGGTCCTAGGAGGGAGACCGCTGCAGAGCCCAGAGCGAAAGGCTGGACTGATCCCGCAGAGCGAGAAGACGCGGGAAACCCGGGGCGTCCTCAGCTGGGCGGTTCTCGGAGGGTGCGGGGCGGGGCGGGCTGGCCGCGGACGGCTAGAGGAGCGGAGGCGAGGCTTGCGACGGAGGGGGCGTCTCGGCTGGGGTCCCGGGCTGGG